CGTAGTAGTAGTAGTAGTAGTAGTAGTAGTAGTAGTAGTAGTAGTAGTCAAAATCGTAGTAGTAGTAGTAGTAGTAGTAGTAGTAGTAGTAGTAGTAGTAGTAGTAGTAGTAGTAGTAGTAGTAGTAGTAGTAGTAGTAGTAGTAGTAGTAGTAGTCGAAATCGTAGTAGTAGTAGTAGTCAAAGTAGTAGTAGTAGTAGTAGTAACATTAGTAGTAGCAGTGGTGACAATAGTAAGGTATAAGTAGTACTCGCTGTACTAGTAGTAATACATTTTGACTGAGGAAATTAAAAAAACAATACCACATATATTGTCTTTCTACTCCTCTGACTTTGAAAGACGCAAATAAAACCAGTGGATTTACGGAGATCTATCACAGGAAGGGTTGATGAAAGAGCGAGAAAGCAAAGGCGAGAAACAGAGCAAATGGGGAAAAAACACAGACTGAAAAATACAGGGAGAGAAAGAAAAGGAGAGAGAGAGAGTTTGGGGGTTAAGGGATGAGAGAGAGAGAGAGAGAGAGAGAGAGAGAGGAGAGAGAGAGAGAGAGAGAGAGGAGAGAGAGAGAGAGAGAGAGAGAGAAGGAAAGAGACTGGAAAAAATTGAGAGAACAAGAGAAAGAAGGGGAGATAGATAGATGGACAGATAATTAGATAGAGAGAGATAGAGAGATAGAGAGAGAGAGAGAGGCAGACAGAAAGACACGCACTCACACATACACATGTACAAAAAAAAAAAAAAAAAAAAAAAAAAACTAACAGACAGCGAGCGCAAGAGAAAGAGATAGAGAAGAGAACAAAGAGGAGGCGAGAAAGGGAGAGAGTGAAAGAAGGACAGAGAGAGACACCAAATGGGGAGTCTGCCGTTTTGTGTCCCATAGTCTGAAAAAAATCTAGATTCCACTCGTGTAGAAATTCATTCGACAAACTTGTGGGGATTTTTGTCTCTGTTTGACTGCTTCTTGTTTTTGTTAACTATTGCAAATATATGTATTGTGTATATGTATGTGTATATACATATGTGTGTGTGTGTGTGTGTGTGTGTGTGTGTGTGCATGAATCCGTGTGTGTATGCGTGTGTGTGTGTCTGTGTGTGTGTGTTTGTTTGTGTGTGTGTGTGTGTGTATGTGTGTGTGTGTGTGTGTGTGTGTGTGTGTGTGTGTGTGTGTGTGTGTGTGTGTGTGTGTGTGTGTGTGTGTGTGTGTGTGTTTGTGTGTGTACGTATATATTTTCTTTTATATATAGTCAGTATATATGTGTGTGTGATGTATTAAGTTTTTAAACACTGCTGGGTTTACCGTTTCATATACAACCTAAAATACATTATCAAATTACTGTTTCCAATTTATCAGGATCAATTCTAACATATATGCTGATAGTATTACTTCGGTAACGCCGCCGCCACCCGGGCTTTTCGAGGTTTTAAGGAAACCCCGAGAAAATACAACTTTGACTTTAATTTTAATTTGAGTAGCATGACTTAACAGTCTTAAGGACCGTGGGGTGGATTGAATTTATTCCATGTCATAAAGACATTTTTTTACCAATTTCTTTTAATATACTTTTCTCTACTAATTATAAATCAGTAATCATTGCGAAAATATGATAAAAAACAAACGTGAGATTGAGGTATTCACACCTCCCCCCTCCCCCCCGCACTCGTGGTATTTTGTTACCTACTTGGACGGATAAGTCATTAATCTTTTTTACAATTTTACAATTTCCCTTTCCTACACTTTACTCTGGTCTGTTGTTCCTTCTGCAATTTAGTTCTTGGCACAGTCGGAATTGTCTTCTTCGAAGAAGTCCGTTGCTGTATCTATCGCCCCCACCCCAAAAAAAAAATGAAAAATAAAAAATAAATAAATAAATAAATAATAATAATAACAATAATAAAATAATAAATTAATAAATAATATCATGTTTCCTAACAACAGCAGCTAGCATGGGAGATGAAAGCAACGACCCCTCTTTGTTATCTCAGTTCAATTCATATGGATTCATATTAATTCACTTATTAAGCATTACAATCTTCAATTTGCTTAATACCCGGCACTTAACATACCTGCGTGCGAGATGAAAGAAGGCTTATGAATATGTGCTTGCTACGGCCCACTGAACTGACAATTTAACCAAACCAACCACTTACAGATAATTATCATAATTTACTCTTTTAGTTCTAAATTTTGGTCTACACATATTTACAACTGTAACCAATGCACCTTTTAGATGTCGAATCATATATACATACATATATATATATATATATATATATATATATATATATATATATATATATATATATATATATATATATGTATGTATATATATATATATATATATATATATATATATATATATATATATATATATATATATATATATATATATATATATATATGCGTGTGTGTACGTGTATCAAGGTCACAGACCTTGACTTTGCCGATGATGCAGTGATTCTAGCAGAGACGTTCGGTGTCCTGGATGTAGCTCTCGAGGCG